AATTCTTGATATCCTGATTGGGATATAGATTTTCTTGATATCCCAATCGGGATATCGAATTATATCCTGATCGGGATATAATTTCAAACTATATCCCGTTCGGGGTATAGAAAAAATTTTGCTGCAACAAATGATATCCCGATCGGGACACTGTCAGCAATGTTTTTAACTCAGCAGTCGATTCGAAAATAATTTTTAAAGACATATATAATATTTTCCCAGAGAATTATTTAGCTCAGTAGTTATAAAGATAATTTTTTCAAGTTGCAATTCTGTATAAATGTATATTCACAATGATGATTTCTATTAGCAAGTCAAAATCCAAAATTTAGAGCATGGCACAGCATATGCCGTAGTTTCGATCTCTTAGGATCGACTTTGTTTATATAAATGTAGATTTCAGTTTCATGAGATGGGGATCGGTTCAATTCCGCGTCCCGACAATTTACTTGAACCGACAATTGGCTATGAAAGTGAGGTTGTATACGAGAATATACGGATGATATGTGGATAAGAATTTAAAAGCGAACGCAATTAGGTTGAAAAGAGAAAGTTATTGATTTTTTGGAGAACACATTGTTTTTTAGATAGAAAAGAGAACGTACGACGAGGTAACACTTGTAGAATGACCAGAGACCGTACGTATTGATGACTAGGCATTACAACACTAAACAAAAGTTACAACTGTTATAACTATACATTCAACTGTATCTTTTCTTCTGTAACTTGTACAATTCAATCTGAAAAATGACAAGAAGATGTGATATTTTGCTGAGAGTTTCTCAAATACTGATTCATTGAAGATTAAAGAAAACTGTGTGTTTCATAATTTCACTTGCAACAAACAACAAGTATATTAAAATTAACGTACTGTTGTTCACTAGATAAAAAATATCCTGAGTGTAGTTTTCAAAGTTCAAACAATAATCAATGGTTTGAAGCAAATTTCCGTTAGTACATCAAAATAACATAATCACGATGTTAAAATATTTATTATTCTGTTATTGTGTAAAACCAAAAGTTGATTTATTTGAACGTCCAACAATTACAATCACAAAAACATGATCAATTTACAAATATTAACCTCGTATTCCGTATTAGCTCCTCATGCGTTCTCTTTTTCTACCTAAAAAACATAGCCGAAACATCTTCAAAAATCAGAAAAGGTCTCTTTTCAATATGACTGAGTTCTCCCTTTAAAATATTTTCCGTACATATGTCGTTCGTGTAAGATAAACTAATAAAAGTTGAAATATTTATTGTCATTTGGCACAATATATTTTAATTACCTTTTTTATTACTATCAATGTATGTCATTCGGGATTTGTTAATGTGGAAGAAAACAGAAAGATTGACATTGTAAAATAATTTATGCACACTCACATTGTTTAATAAAATCATTTGAATTAGATAAAATATAACGCAAAAAAAATTTTCATCCTTAAATTAGATAAATGTCATTTTATTTATGTTGATAACTATGTTGAGTAGGAGTATTTTTAACAGGAAAAAAAAAATAAGTTCTCCCTAGATTTTTAAAGTTTTCGAAAACAGTCACAGAAGAGCTGCCATCCGTTTCATTTGATCCGTTTCAAAAGTTCTTTCAAAAATATGGTGCTTACATCGACTTTAAATGTGCTGTCAAACAATTAATTAAGGACTTATTCAAATAGTGATAACTACTGGTCTTATAATTCATACAGATTTCTTATTTTTTGATACTAATCTGATGTTTTATCAATCCACAAAATACTTAACATTTGAATATCAATTTCAACAGTTATAACATTTAAAATATTCTTAAAATAATATTATACATGCATACAGGGTTAGTTACTCAGTTAGCTAATTGAACGCCAGGAATAACATCATGATAGTACTAGAACGGAAGCTCCGAAACGATCTTTCTGGTTTCTAGCTGAAGAGCTGGCATTTTGTACATGAATTTATTTTAGAATGTGATCGTAGATACAGAAATTATCTAAAAAGTATCCGCTTACTCGTTTTCTTCATACATTTTATGACGTAAAGAAGAGTTTTATTTGTGCTCCGCATACATGTGCTTTTTAGAAAACAGATAGTTTAAGTGCAAATATGTTCTTGTTGTAAACTGTATGGTGCTTACAACAAAAAAGAGAAGATTAAAATATTTTGCACAAAACTATCACTTATTGTTGCTATTATTTACTGAATAGCTTTTTGATAAGGTGGTGCATAGGGAGCTTGAGGATACATTTGTTGACGTTGGACTGGTGGAGGAACTGGATAAGGGTTGTTTGACTGAAATGCTTGAGGTGCTTGAGGATAAGGGTTGTTTGGTTGAACTGCCGGAGGATTGGGAGCAGTAGCAGCAGTAGCAGCAGTAGCAGCAACTCCAGTTTTATTTCTGAGTTTGACTCTGCAAACAATGTAGATGATTACATAAATTATCGATAGAAGAAGAGCCAAACCAGCACAACCGACTTGTATTTCCAAGAAAAGCTTTTTGGAATCATATGTTGAATAATTTTTAAATGATGAGATACCAGTCATAAGATAGTTAAGTGAAATCAATTGAGGTTGGGTTGAGCAGCTAGGTGTTAGTATACACGTGTATGGATTCAAGATAAACACGGTGTCAAAAACAACAATCGCACCCATTGCAATGATAGTTATTATATTCCAAACCAATGAACATGTGGATGCATAAACAGTCGAAGAGCAACATACTTGCAAAGAAAAATTAAAAATGCACTTGAATAATTATTTATAAAGAGGTTAAAAAAAGCAACACTAACAAGAAAAACGAACTGTCGGGGGTAAAAAGGTTAACGGTGTGGATTCTATAATCTTTTGGTTACAGAATTATGAACGAATAAGTATCCAGAATATGCATTTTTGTTGGTAACTGTCGACTAAAACCTACATTTGCTTACTAAGTTTTTGTATCCGGCGTCCGCAGATCAGACGACGTAGTTTTTCAAAGATCTCCTAGAAAACCTATTTCAAAAAACTCGTTTGAAAATGACGAAAAACTTTTCGAATGGCGAAAAACGCACGTCTTCATCTTGTTTGTATCAAAAGTTATTCGAAAAACAACCGGGTGCCTTGACTTCTGGAACGGATAATACCTGTTGTAGCGCATATTACAGTAAATGATACGGGTGATTCATAATCGAGCAGTGGTGCAACTAGTGGGGGCCATTGTGACAGCCAAAGGAGATTTTGAACTTTTCGATTTTTCCAGCTGAAGATTTGAAATAAAAATGTTTGGCTCAGTCTTTTCTCCAGCTATCATAGCGCGGCCTAATCGATTTTTTCAAACTAATGACGGTTGGCCCAATGGTCAAAAAATCGTGGTTGCACCACTGCCGAGGAATACACACCACTTTTTAGATATGTGCGATGACTTGATCGTATTTGATGTATCTGCTCAACATATTGAGTGCTTCAGAACAGGACTTTAAGCGAAAAACATTTTTCCTCACAGATCACGCGTCCCATAAATCGAATTTTAGTCCTTACGGGTTGTTCAATTCTCATGTTCAGTCGATTGTCTATATCTGAATACTTTTTATCCGAAAATAAATCTATTACTTGGGAAGTTTACGATCTTTCTAATAGAAATAGTAGAGCGAAATACATGAAACAGAAAGATTTCGATTTTAAACCCTGGAGGAAACCGGTAGTCGAGATGTTTTGTTTTTCGTGAATCATAAGTATTGTAGTACATAGCCGAATACGAAACAAAATTTAGATGCAAGGTTTTCTTTTGACTTTGTTTTGTTGAAACAGTACAATATCAGCGCAATTCAATATTTGCGAGATTTAAACTATAAATTGAGAAAAACAACAGTTTTTGGAAATGGCAGGAGTGGGAGACAATAAAAAAATGCCAAGTGGTTTCCGTACTAACATCATTACAAGAGCAAAAGAGTCACTAGTTATTATTAAGTAGACTTCTCCAATGTTGAGAAAAATCGTCTCGACAACGTCACTTGCGCATAATATCTAAAGTATGATTAGTTCTTATATAAGTACGAGACAGGCCTTGAATCCATCCCATAAGAGAAAGTTATAGTTAAGCTCAAAGAAGAAAACATATTTTATTCAAAATACGAAATATTGTCGTATATCATGATCAAACGTCAATGAACTCTTGGTATAAACTGACTGTCTCCACTACGCAAGGAATAAATCCTTAGTGACTTTGAAAAGGATGTTACAAAATGAACATGGAAGAGACAGCTAGAATTTATGTTAATTTTATGACGTGTACAAATTTCGGTTAGAGATTTCCAACATGGATGATAAAGAATCTTTTTAACTGAAATGCTGGAACCATTCTAGAAGTAACATGTTACGCGCTTTCTGACTGTATTTCAGATATCTAAATACTTCATTACTGAGTTTTACTAACATGTTATGTGTAATTATAAAAGTATGTTTTACCTGTCGTAATTATCGTGATCCAATTAATCAACAGAATAATTGAACCCCAAATTCCACCAAAAACATTCATATGCCAAAAATCCACCACGACGTTAAATACTTCCGTTATGAATAATACCACGGTAAGGATTATTTCGACCGTTGTAATCAAAGCAAAAACACAACGAGGCCAGCTTTTCTTCCATTTTAAATTTCGTTCAAATTTTTCCTGTATCACTGGATCAACAACCATTTTTTTTTACTATACGTCGTATACACGGATACTATTATAATGTAATGTTTTAAGTTATAAAAAAACTTCGTCCAGATTGTATATCGACCAAAATATTATTTTTTTTTCTCATTTTTCTTCGTACAAGTACTTGAAATATAAAAATAAACAAAACAAAAAAAGAAGAAAGAAAGAAAAGACTTTGAGCTGCAAATTACGACAACAGTGAGTATGCATTTCATTGGTCTATAGATAATTGATTTTTAGATCATGAAGAGATTGTTTTTATCGACATTAGGGTTTTCTTTTTATATTGAATTATTCGAAAAAGAAAACTTTGAAAAGAAAAAAACAAAAGCGAAACACTGAAACTTCATTGAAAAATAATCAGAAGTCACGGTATGAACTAAATGGCTTTGCCTGTTTTGATTAAAAAGATGACGCATAGACACCGAATATGCCGGCAAATATTTTATAAAAAACAAAAAGATTGACGAACACATATCGAGTCGAAATAGATTTGGCTGGAGCTTTTTGCAGACGAGTTGAAAAAAAATCTTTTTTTGCAACTTACTTATAAGCATAAGGCCATGACTAATTCGAAAATATCTCTACTCAGGTCTTTTCCGTTACCGAGATAAGAGGCATTATCCGTAAAATAATTATCTTTTCTGCCGGCTACTTATAATCATACCTTTATGAGTAAAATAGCCATAAGTAGCTCGAGTACAGTATGGAGACATGTTGCCAGGTGCGAGATTACTTTTCACTGGTAGAAATCGTGAAAAAATCAGAAGTTCGACATGGTTAAAAATGAAAAAAGTCCAAAATTTGGAAAATTTGCGCGCTTTCCTCATCCATGGAAAGTGTTTTTATAAAATTACAACTGCCAGAGAATTTAAGTACAAAGTTACAGCTGCCTAAGTAATCAATTTCACCAAAAAGTCTTGCCTTCGGAGCAATAAATAAGAGTCAGTTTTTAGAAAATAATGTCTCTTATCTCAGTAACGGAAAAGACCTAAGCAGAGCTATTTTCGAATTAGTCATGTCCTTATGCTTATAAATAACTTACAAAAAAAATTTTTCTTCAACTCGTCTGCAAAAAAAACTCCTGCCAAGTCTATTTTGACTTCATATGCTAAACATTATCTTTAATGTAATACTGTTAGATCTCTAAGCATCTTCGGGGATCTCGAGAAAACTTTATAGATTTACATTATATTATGAAGCTTACACATTAAATCAGAGAAAATGTTTATGTTCGTCGTGACTTTTAATTATTTTTCACTGAAGTTTCATTGTTTCGTTCTTGTTGTTTTCTTTTCAAAGTTTTCTTTTTCGAGTAATTTAATATAAAAAGAAATCCTAATGTCGACAAAAAGGTAAATGACGATCTACTATCTCTACAAACCTAAAACTAAATTAAATTTTAAAATATGCTCGAAAATGGGTATCATTTTTTCACATTATCGCTAACTTGGTACACGTTAAACAAAATTGCTAATCCAGTAGATTGTTGCTACATCAGAAAATCATTGAAAGTAAGCCGGAGAACGGTAAATATCTGGCTAACGACACATACAATGTCGCCACGGTTTTAAATGTTTTTTCATAGATGTGGGTGAAACTACCACTGTAAGCGCTTCACTAGTAACAGTGTGAACACTGTAATGTAATTGATAGTGTTTTTATCCATTCATCCGTCTGTAAATTATTCCAGTTGCGTCTGTCTTTCTTTTGATTCCTCATGTTCGTATCTTCTTCTATCAATGTCTATTTAACTAGCATTTGAGAACAAAGCAAGAAACAACAATCGAAATGGAGTCAACGTCATTATCTTTCCTTGAAGGCGACGACGTAGTGTCTTCTTCCTCAATTACTGCTATGAAATATACTAGTGATAGAATAACTGAGAATTTGACGAAAAACCTGTTTGAATTTAAAATAGTTGATTTTGACAAAAAGTGTTCATAACCATCAACAGTATGGCTAAAATTTCACTTCTGTAAATATCTCTGCTGATAATGATAATAAATCAAATTAAAAGTTCATGCACGATAAGTGATACTGTCCATGTTTTCAAAAATGCATTAGATACCCGAGACTTTGATTGCATGCGAACCGAGCCTCGAGCCATGGCTTGACTAACTGGATCGAGTGTGATCTGATTTTATAATATTATTGCCGAGTCAAGCCGAGCTATGAGTCGCTATCTCGCGAGTAGGGGAAAGGCATGACACACCTTCATCTGCTGTCCGGTTGGTATGAAAGTAAAATGCCCGTAATTCAAAGTTTGCATGACTTTTCGTTTTTTGATATGTTTATACATGATTGAATAGAGGACAGCGAGCTGAGTAAGAGAAAGTTAGTTTTAAATTTTGAAAAAAATCTTTTCAGTGTGAAAGTTTTGAAAAACTTTAAAGGACCGATTTTGCTTAAAATCACTTTTGCTCAAATCAATCTGACATCTTCTCTATACTCAGTTTTCAATGCTGAGTTCAAAAAAATTAGTTTCAAAATTTCAAAAGTAAAGAGAAAATGCAAAATTTGAGTTTTTTGAAACTGTAGTGATTTTGAGCAAAATCGGTCTTTTAAAGTTTTTCAAAACTTTCACTCTAAAAAATAAGTTTTCAGAACTTAAAACTAACTTTTTCTTACTTAATTCGCTCTCCTCTATCCAACCATGTATAAATATATCAAAAAAGAAAAAATCATGGAAACTTCGAATTACGGGCACCTTGTATTCATGTAAACATTCTGTTGTATTAGCAATTTTATTTAACGTATATCAACTTAGCGATAACACACATATTCAACCATTAGGCAAAAGAAAAGCAATATAACTAAAAACGTAAAAATATTGTTCATTTGGTTAATATTTCCATGAATATGTTTGTGTTGTACATTATACTTTGTTGAGAAATAAAAATATGAGATTCATGCTGAAAAATTTGGTAATCAAAAGTACTCCGCGAAAATACGCTACGTTACAATGACA